GGGGGGGGGGGTTACAGTATTGCCACCCTTACTTTTGTGCTGCCTTCAGAGCTGGGTGGCCAGAGAATGGCGGCTGCTGACTGAGGGCCCAGCTCTGCAGGCAGCAGCGCAGAAGTAAATTCATTACACAGCAAAGCCCCAGCAGAGAGATTACTACCATACCAGGCCATCCTTACGTCTGTGCTGCTGCTGGCGGCAACACTGCCTTCAGAGCTGGGCTCCCGGCCAGCAGCCGCCGCTCTCCAGCTGCCCACCCCAGCTCTGAGGCAGCACCACTGCCAGCAGCAGCGCAGAAATAAGGGTAGCAGTACCGCAACTCCTCTCTACAATAACCTTGCGGACCCCCTCCCCCACAACTCCTCTTTGAGTTCAGACTCCTACAATTACAACACTGTGAAATTTCAGATTGAAATAGCTGAAATAATTAAATAGACAATTTTTTAAATACTATGACATTGAAATTGACCAAAATGGACCGTGAATTTGGTAGGGCCCTATCTATTGGTTAGGTCTCAGAGGATCTTTCAAGCATTAAGTTGTCAGTATTTTGGAGCAGAAACCTTGTCTGTGATTTCTCTCGCCACCCTAACACAAACTCCAGCCTCCAGCCATTGTGGAACATAACCAGGAACGCCATTCCACTGTAACGTAATTGTCCTTTGCTCTAGGCACCGCATGTGAGTCGGTTTGTAGGAGGGGAGAAGTAATGGCAGTAGAAATGTTTGTATGGCAGGGAGTGAAGATTGCAGGGAGATGCGTTCCCTGCTTGTGGTTGAGGGCTCCTGGATACAGAAGGGAGGAGGGAGGAGAGATGGGGGGGGGGGAATGCAGTGAGTGGGTCAAGAGCATGGGTGGGGAGGTAGGCCAAAGCAGGACTGGTGGGGCCCAGGTAATGGGAGGGTGTGGGGGAATAGTGCAGGCTGGCTGGCTGGCTCAGTATGCAAATTCCAGGACATGATATGTATAGCTGTCTAAATGATTACCAACTCCTCCCAACAGTATATCTTTCCTGTTAAAAAAAAAATGGGAAATTGAGTAGCAAACATATCTGTTAATACAGAGTTACGGTTGCTTGCTGGGATGTAGTCCCCTTGCTGGTACATAGTCCTCTTGTAGACAAGTTTGAGCAAAACTCAAACTTCTGAAACTAGGAAATGCACAGGTAAGGTTGCACCTTAACTGCTCTCTTTCCGCAGTGCCCCTGGGTGCCCGTTAACACATACACCTTTGCTTGGCCAGTCCCACCATGGCTGAAATGTA